GAGTGAAGAGGCTGGTTTTCAGCCAGATGGACTTGGCCTCACGGGAGGTGTCGCCTTGAGCAGTCACTTCCCCTCCCTGGGCCTCAGTTGCCTCATCTGTAAACGGGGAGAGTAATTCTCACTGATGGTGATTTCTGGGGGTTGTCATGACTTGCAGCATCTGTGGGGTCTGACACTGGGGTGGGGGCAGATGACAAACTGGCTCCCCTCTCCCCCACCTGATGGGACCCAGGGCTGGCCCTGCCCGAAAAGGCCCATCTCTAATGGGCTCTACAGGTGGGCCTGGTCCTCTCAGTCCCCACCCAGGGTGTCCCCACCCAGGGCACCTGCCTTGGGCTCACATCCCCCTTCTCCTCCTCCTCCTCCTCCTCCCCCAGTTTCATTGTTTCTTTGTTCCTTCCAGTTCAGTGAACACCTGCTGGCCGCCCCCAGGGGACGGGCTGGGGAGAGGAGAGGAGAAGGGGACATCAGCTTGTGACTCAGGGGGAATCCCCATGTGAAGGGGTGTATGTTTCTTTCTCTCAGGCCCAGAGCCTTTAGCAGAGACCCCTTCTCATCCCTGAGGAGGCAGAGTGCCCCCCACTCTCTAGCCAACAGCCTGCACCCTCACCTCTGCAGGGAAGCCTGCAGGCACCTGGGTGGGACCAAGGATGGCACTGGTAGGGGTCCTACAAGCAGCTCTTAGTTTTGGAACCTCCCGGAATTCTCCCAAGGTGGCCTGCTGGTGCCCAGCCCCCTGCCCGGCTCCTGCCCATCGTTCCAGCACCTGGAGAACCCCACTCCCTCGCCGTGCTGAACAGTAGTCCCTTTATGCCATGAAGTAGGCGGTTTGCACCAAGGCCAGCCACCTGGGCCTCTGCCCTGCCCAGGAACGATCCCCTTCATGGCACAGGGGCATGGGATTGCTGTGGGCATGGGGTGGGGAGGCAAGTCTGTTGCAGGGATGGGGGGTGGTTGTTAAGGTTAGGGCCTGGCCAGCATGAATTGGTGGTTGAGCATCAACCTGTGAACCAGAAGGTCGGGCTCGATCCCCAGTGTGGGGCGTGCAGGAGGCAGCTGATCCATGATTCTCTCTCATCATTGATATTTCTATCTCTGTCTCCCTCTCCCTTCCTCTCTGAAATCAACAAAAATATATTTTGAAAAATAATAAATGAATTAAATAAAATTAAAGTGGCATTGTTAGTGCTACCAGCCTCCATCACGCTGTAGCCATAGGTTTTAGAGTCAAAGCCACAGGGGGATGAACCATTTCCCATTCATAGACATTCTGCCTCTACAAGAGGACACAGTCTGGAAGGTTTTATTGGTGTACGAGTTAGTTACCTTGTAGCAGAATCAGGCACGGACTTGTTAGGAAGAAGACAAGGCAGTGGCTTCTCGGGAAGATGAATGTTCACAAAGAAATTAT